TTTTTTTTTTTTTGGCTAAGTTAGATACTTTTCACTTGCACTAATAGAAAAAGAGAAATTAAATAAATTTGAATCAGCTTAAACATACAGTGTAGAGTAGTGGGCACATTGACATTGGAGCCCAAAGAACTGTATTATTTCTAACTGACTTTTAACTTCTTTCTGTGTCAGTTACCTTTAAAATGTTGTGAACATAAATAAATTAAAAAAATAAATAAAATGTAGTGAACACTTGACTAAATGATTTTCATTTTCCCTTGTTTTCTCTGAATAAGGATGTAAATATCAACTGACATTCTTGTCATTTATTTCAATAGGATTTTACCCATTGTAATGTTAAAATAATATATTATCTTTAAAGTATATTCACAGTCATGTTTTATGGGACTCTTCCAAGAAAGGTAATATTTCCATGTGTTAAAAAATAGTAGCCTAAATAGTAGTTTCTCCATGAGCTACATTACACATATGAGTAAGTACTAGAATTTTATGTTTTTGTATTACTATGAGTGTATATTTTAGCCCTCTTAATACAGTTATTCCATGTATTACAGAACTTTTGGCTTAGTTTTTTTTCAAACTCCAAATCATGTGCTGCTGTTTTTAAGATTTTGTTGTACAATAAATTGAAATGTTTTAATCAAATCTTTCCTTTCATTATATGCATAATAAATGGTGGCTATGGCAGGATATTGCTCTTAAAAAACTAGGGAATATAGTTGAGTGTAGCTAAGTTAAAATTTAAGTGTTTAAAGTTTTTTGTCTTAACTGTGAGATTAACAGTTTTTAGAAGGCAACTGGCATCTATTAATGTTAGTGTGAATCGTTCTTGTAGAAATGCTCACCTGGGTGGACAAGGTTATATGTATGAAGACATTTATTCATGGTTTTACCAGAACTGGAAACAACTCAAAATGCTCTAAAATCTGGAGATTCAAGAAATAAAATCCATATAGGTCAGAATTAAGATTGCCACTAAAAACTGGTAAGCTGGCCAGGCATATTGGTGTACACCTGTAATCTCACCACTGGAGACACTGAGGCAGGAGTATCATTATGAGTTCAACGCCAGCCTTGATTATATAGTTAGTTAGTTCAAGGCCAACCTGAACTACCTACTGAGACCCTGTCTCAAAAGAAAAAGGAATTGGTAAGCTAGAGTTTGTAAGTACAGATATGTTGAGTACAAAAAAAATACTTGCAGAACTCTTCTAAATTATCATATATAATCTGTATATTGGTCTTTGAAGTTAATATCATTTAATCACATTTTGAAATCTCAGTAGAAACTGAGATTTAAAGAGATCAATTTACCTAACTTCTAGCTACATTCACGTGTGCTGGAATTTGAACCCAGGCCAGTGTGACTGCAAATCTCTCTTCACTTATTTAACAGACATTGAAAGGTTCATGCTAGGCAGTGGGTTGCACCCATAATCCCAGCTCTTCAGGAAGTTGAAACAGGAGGACCATAAATTTAAGACCACCCAGGGCAATTGAGAAAGACCCTGTGTCAAAATAAAAAAAAGTACAAAGGGCTGTGATAGGAGCAGAAAAGGCAAGAAAATTTTAAAAAATTAAAAAAAAAAAAAAAGAAGAAGGAGAAGAAAGTTTATAGCAAATAACTCAATGCCCCTGAACTTTACCTGATTTTTCTCATAATGTAAAATAATGCAGAATCTGGTCTTAACCTCTTACTTGTCTTTCAGGTGTTCCATTTTGTTTTAGTTTTTTTCTTTTATTAGTACTTGATCTCTCTGTAATGAAAACATGGCCTGCAAAGAACCCAACCTGTTATAAGTTGTCAATATTTATTAGTTGGATAAATGAAGTATGTATAAGTCACAGTGTTATAGAATTGAAAGCTGTCCTTGCATCTGAGGACATTATGCATTCCTCCCTGTCATTCTTTGCCTCTTCAAAAAATAAGGGTGACAACCTTTGTTCTCCATGTCAGTGCAGACACACATTTGAAGTCAGAAAGCTTGCTGTTTCTGGTAGTGCTTTTTTGTATTTTCAGATGAGTGCTGACTTGAAAGCTGATGTAGTAATCATTGAATTGGTATTCTTTGAAAAATGTGACATGAAATTAAATGTCAGGGTTGAATTTTGTCCTTGTGCCATCTCTTAGTGAACGAGTATGTAGTAGCGGAGACCTTAGTTTCACAGTTCCACAGGCCATAACTTCTAGTGGATTAATACTTGTGTCTATTAGACAAGGAAAAAAAAAAAAGTATTATGAGAACTTTCAAAAAATTTCAGGCCAAGACTTCTACGTTAAAAGAGTACCACTGCCACATTTGACTTGTCTTACCAGGTTCCAGAAGTTTTCATGTCTGTCTTAAATTAGGTGTATAGTCACTTACTATTATGTGTTTTATATACAGAGTCTGCCAGAAAAATGTGTGTACATCAGGAAAAGAAAAGCTTGCATAAATATTTTAATACTGAATTCTTTAAGACATCAAGAGATTAATACAAGTTACCTTTGGCCTGTACAGTTATAGGAGGTGCTCAAAATGGTGGCATTAGCTTGTTATTTATTATTATAGGACAGACATTTATTAGTACAGTACAGTGAGTGAATTCTGAAGTGTGTATACATTGTGTTGGCAGACTCTGTATATGGCATTTTAAATATTAGAAAACATGTTTGTAGCTTGACTTCAGTAACAACTACATTCTTGGAAGTGAGAGAGCTTTGTACTTCAGCAATATGATATACAGATACACACCAGTGTACGTTATTCAGGATAATTACAGTGGGAGTTTGTTTTCAAACTAGTGACAGAAAGTATCTGGGAGTCAGAATTATTTTTTCTCCTCATTTGCCATTGTGTAAAATGCATTCACAGTGTGAAGATTTGAAGGAAGAAGAGCCCTAATGTTCACACAATACGGAATTATCACTAATGATATTCATAGCCAGATATAGTAATAAGATCATAAATCCTTTAATTTTATTAATTTTGTGATAAGCGACTTAGAGTGAACCCTGATCTTCAGTATGTGGCATTGGTTACAAGGGAGAAATGACCTGAATATACTAATAAATTTAGATAAATTGTTATCACTAATTAAATACCCTTCTTCAGGACAGATGATACCGTCTTTAAAAACATTTACAAAATAAATAATTGCTTTTTGGTGTGAAGAACCCAACCCATACTCTAGAGTTAGAGAAAATTGCCACTTAAAATCAATTTGGTAGTTTATGCCTTCTCAAATTAACTAACTCAGTAGTTAAAATAATTTCATTTTTGGCAAAGAATTAAAAGACATGACAGTTTAGATAATTAAATGTCATCTCATAATTTAGTTATGCACAAAAATTAAGTCATGTTTGATGCATCCACCTACATTAAACCAGAGGCAGGAGCCTTAACCTAATGATTCAGATAAAATTATATTACATTTTGCCCATGTTTAGCTGGATCCAGAAAGAAGTTTATTTGACCAAGGAGTAAAGACAGATGGAACTGTACAACTTAGTGTACAGGTAATTTCTTACCAAGGTAAGTTCCTTTCAGTGACTCTTTTTAAAAGCTTAGCTCATGTTTTTGTGAAACAGTAATTCAATTTTGTAAGTCGTACCATTTTAGATGTTTGTCTAAATGACTTGATGTGATACTGTAGCTAAATAATTATGGTTTTTGGTTTAGGTGTTGAGTATAACATACTCCACTTAACTTAATATTATATATTAATATATTGCAAATATGTTATATAATAGTAAATAGCAGAATCACAAAGCAGTCTAGAGAAACACATCTTGCTGGCTTCCTAAGAATGCCGCAGTCACACTGTAGAGCTAGACTGCTGAGAAAGCTGGTGTTCTGCCATGATCTGAGAAGCAACCTCTGGAAACCACCACTATAGCTGTCAACTAGCAATTCTCCTGCCTTTACAGTGAGGCACACTGGGCAAAAATGAATGTCACATTGCTACCTCTTAAATCATTTCCGAATAGAAAGCTTATACCAGAGACTTTGGAGCCTAATCACATACAGAACCCTAACTGCAAGGAAGTTCAGTGTCTAGTACAGAGAAGAATTTGCAGAGGACATATAGTGATCCAGTCAGTATGTCCATCGAGTATTTTACTGTTCTTGTGTAAGTGCTCAAGTCAGAAAATAACATTAGAAAGCCATTTTGATGGGTTGAATTTTAGTTTTTAAAAATGTAATTTGTTAAGATTTCTACCAAGTTTTTAAATAATTTAATCTTTGACATACTGTATTGCTCAAACTGTTCCCAGAGACCAGAATTTTCTTTGGACTTTGAATACCTGTATTTATCTGCTTCTGATCCTTAATTCCCCCAGGATTGATTGCTGTGGCAGATAGGAAAGAAATTCAATGTTTTTATCTTTAAAAGCCCAGTGACCTCTCAGTACAAGTTATATGAAGAGTTGACTTGAAGCTTTTTGAAATTCTGGTAGAGGGTTAGGGAACAGATGCTTGGAGAATATTGGTTTTTAATTCTCTTTGTCACGTGTATTTGAAAAGTAACTTCTCTTCATACTACTTTAGTACATTTTCTTGTACTGGTTTTCATGGGAGATTGAAATTGTTAGTTTTTCTTTCAGACTTTCTTTTATTAGATTTTGATACAGATTGTGACAGATTCAGTACTTTTGCTATTAAATAACAGTTTCTTAGAGCTGTTGTTCTCTTGTAAGTATCAGATTATTTTGTAATGGGGGCTAGTTTATTCTGTTTAAATAGTATATCTTAAATGTTTGCATTCTGGGTAATAGGCATTGAAGAGTTTCTATATTTTTTTTAATCTTAAAGATAAGTAGCTGCACATTTATATTCTCTCTAGATTTTATTTTTATTCTATGTTGATACTTTTATTGTGGTAGAAACTGCCTTTTTTTTCTAATGCTGTTTGTAGGTAGGGTTTTTATGTGTGTGTATATAATTGTAGAAAAGTTTCAAAAGTAGGTAAAAAATTCATAAATCTAGTATATTGCACATGCCTCTACAACAACTGAGAGGCTGATGCAGGAGGAGTGCATGTTTGAGGACAGGCTGGGCAACTTAATGAGGCCCTTTAAAAAATGAAAGTCCCCCTCCCCCTCCAAAAAAAGGCCCTGTGGATATAGCACAGTGCTAGAGCACTTCGCTTACATGCATGAAGGCCTGGATTCAGTCCCTGTATGTATGCATCTCTTTATATACATATCTGTATATCCTTCACCCAGATTCTTCAAATGTGAATTTTTAATGTATTTGCTTTTGTTATCATTCTTCTCCTACACAGTATTTTTTCCAACTTTTTAAGGACAAGTTGCAGGCATGATCCCTGTCTCTAAATATATCACCAGTATTTCTTTCAAAAAAGGATTATTTCTTATGAACACAGTACAGTTACCAAAATAAGGAAATTAACATTGACACATAATTGTTACAAAAGTTCTACCCACTGTATTTATTGTTATTGGCCTTTTAAATTTTCTAGATATAGTGCTAAGATATTTAATATGTAGTTTTTTCTCTACCATTTGGGAACATATAAACAAAATCTTATATTTTTAAGCTTGCATTTTCAGTTGAATTCATATATATGTGTGTGTGTGTATATATATATATATATTTTTTTTTTTTTTTAAATTTTTTTTTTTTAATTTACTGTGAAGGGATTGAGCCAAAGCTAAACATCCTGGAAATTGTGAAAACTGCAGAAACTGTTGAAGTAGTTATTGATCCAGATGCGCATCATGCTGAAGCAGAAGCACATCTTGTGGAAGAAGCTCAAGTGATAACTCTTGATGGTACAAAACACATCACAACCATTTCAGATGAAACCTCAGAGCAAGTGACTAGATGGGCTGCCGCACTGGAAGGTTATAGGAAAGAACAAGAACGCCTTGGGATACCCTATGGTAATAAAATACAATTATTTATTAGGTAGAATAACAAGAATTAAGTTTAGCATAGGAAGCACTAGAGAGAATTAAATTATAATATTTTAAATGTAGAATTTTTAGGAAGAATGTTTATCTCTTCTTTTAAACTATGGCACACTTAAGCACATGTGATGAATAAATACCGTCGTAGGTGCTGGGAATATAAAGAAGTAGGAAACAAAACTTCTACCTTAGTGTTTTCACAGTGTGTTAAAGAGGAAGAAGATAGATGAAAAGTGGTAACTTGTCATAAAGGTAACATTTAAGATGACAATAATTTATGGAAATGAAACATGCTGTTAGAATTTCAGAGAAATCAGAGAAATCATAGTGGCCTGAGAGATATCGGAGAAGAGTTTATTACAGAGGAAAAACTATTATGCAGAGGACATTGCAGACAGATGCAAAGTGTAAAGCTGGAAGGTTGCATGAGTTATGAGAATGCTGAGTGGATGGGGAGTCATTCTGTAGCTGTATAGAACTGCTTTTGATCAGTGGAACTGACTGAAAAATAGATGACAGTGATAGGTGCTTTCATTTGGAGCAGCAGGTAGCGGGTGGGTAGAGCGAAAACGAGCTTATTATTGCGCTTTATACAGTCGTGATAATCTCTAGGTTAGCCTAAATGGAGTGATTCCTTTGAGAGTAGTACGCTTAATTTTAAAACATTTGAGATTTATGCAAGTATAGGAAGACATTTTAAAACTCATCTTAAACTGACTTTCTTTAAAACTGACTTTCTTTGTCATGGTATTCTTAACCCAGTAGGAAGTTTTAGAGATGATTAATATTTTCCTAGGAAACTATTGTTGAAGGTTTCTATTTCTGTACCAAGTATACTTCTTTGGTTTATTTCCTAATTGAACAGCATTGACTGAGTAAAATTCAAAATATTTTTCTTATCTCTTATTAAATAATACTACTGAAGTCCGGGCATGGTGGCACATGTCTGTAATCCCAGCACTTGGGAGGCTGAGGCAGGAGGATTGTTGAGTTTGAGACCAGCCTGGGCTACAAAGTGAGCTCAAGGCCAGGCTGCAGTGCATAGTGAGACCCTATCTTAAAAGGGGTGGGGGAGACTATTGAAAAGATAGACATGCTGAGATTGTGTTCTAGTTCATTTAAAAAACCATTCATTTTTTGACTTTTAGAATTGTCAAATACTAACGTTTCAAAGTACTTTATATTCATACAAAAAATAAACTATTACAGATATCCTTGATTTATATGTTAACTAGTTCTCCAGTTTTCGCTTGCACCCCTGGGGAAGCTCTGGCATTTATTGTGTATCTCTTAAATTCAAAGAGAGAAAAAGTCTTAGAAAAAATCAGCAGTTCTCCTAACAGCTGACATGACTGCAGTCCTCTGTTCTCTGGGCACAACTGTGTTTTGCTTTATTGATTTTAGTCACTCTTGACTTCATTTTATAGTAGTCTCCCATAAACTACTTGAAATTTCCTATCCGTTTCTGTCACTTTATTCAGGTTTCTATGATTTTATACTTTTAGATTCTTTCGGTCATTTTACTTTTAGATCCTTTCAGTCATTTTACTAGGATTTTAGAGAAAAGAGGCAAAACATGCCTAACAAATTTGGTATGTTAAATCAGAAGTCCTGATATTTGAGAAAACAAATCAGACTAATGTTTTACCCTGTTTCTTGATCTTGATAGTTTTTTGTTCATTTTAATATAAAACTTCGTTTTGTTTCTTTTTTCTTCGTGGTACTGGGGACTAAACCAAGGCTTGTGCACTGAGCTAAACTCCCCCAACTCCGTGTCCCCGCCCCCACCCCACCCCTCACCCCCGTACCTTTTTTTTCTTGGGACAGGATCTCACAGTTGCCCAGGCTGGGACTGAACTTGCAGTCCTCTTGCTTCTGCCTCCCACAGTGCTGGAATCACAAGTGTATGCCACCATGGCTAGCGTTTGGTGGACTTTTAAGAGGTATAGTTCAGGGTAGCTTTTCAAATTTAACAGAACCTCTTCCTGTTTTGAAGAAGTACTGCATTCTGCAATAAGACAGCTTAACTTTCCTTATATGTGTGTACCTCTTCTGGAAGTAATCCTTGGGTGAATTTGAAAAGCTCTCAAGAGTTATACTTCTGTGGCCCCTTAAACCTTACCATGGGCCCTTATAATTAGGGCTACTGTTGAATTGTTACTGTTGAAACTATTTTTTAGCCATGGCTTGCTACTGCGCTTGTTGTACTCTCTCACCTCCCTCCCACCCTCGCAGTGGTGGCGATTGAACCAAGGGCCTCACACTTGCTAGATAAGCGTTGCGTTACTGAGGTACATCTCCAGCACTGTTTATTTTATTTTGTTGGTTGATGGGTTGGTTTTTTGGGACAGAATTTCGCTATGTAGTTCAGTCTGGCTTTGAATTCACTATGTAATCTAGGTTAGCTTCAAATTCATGGTGATCCTCCTACTACCTCAGCCTTCCAAGTGCTGGGATTACAGGTGTGCATCACCACACCCAGCTTGTTTATTTTGAGGCAGGATCTCACTAAATTGCCCAGGCTGGCCTCAAATTTTGTAACCTTCCCACCTCTCTCGCAGAATAGCTGAAATCATAAGATTATAAGCATGTGCTACTGTGCCCAGGTTTAACAGATACTTATTGACCATGTTCAGACTTTCCAACACTTGCTTTCTCTTTTTTCTTTTCTTTGCGGGAGTGCTTTGTCTTCACCCCTGTGTATTGTAGAGTCCTTGAGGTATCTTATCGCTTCATTCATTGTAAACATGCACAGGTTTTCTTGTTTTGCCCTCTAGTTGCTTCTTCTGTTTTTCTGTGTGCATTCAGAGAAATTAAGCTTTACTACCATCGGAAAATCTTTCTCTGCTTTGTGGCAGTATTTAAAAAAGAAAATTCTGTGGCTATCAATTCTATATTTGTATGTTTCACTCACTTTTCACTATAAATTGGCTTTTGATAAATAGTTAAATACTATTTTCCTACTTTCTTATGCAATTCTATATTCGTATGTATCATTCACTTCACTATAAATTGGCTTTAGTAAGTAGCTAAATACTATTTTTCCACTTACTTTTTCTTATTGAGTGACATTTATTGGGTATATAATCCATATTAGTTTGATAAATCATCTTCTAAAGCATTTAATTCAGCTCAAATTAGACTTCTGCAAGTAAGTCCCAGAAAAAGTGATATAATATGTATATATTGGCCATCGTTTTCATTTGTGAATTCAATTAAGTACTAAAAAATGATAGAGAAAATAAAATTATTTGAATAAAAATACTTTTTATGGATTTAACAGATGTGTACAAGGCACTGTGGTAGGCTCTAAAGTTTACAAACATAATCCATGTATTCGAGACTTTAATGTCTTGTTAAAATTCCAGACTGTAGAACCAAGTGACTCCATCATAAATTTAGATCGAGAGGTTGAAAAAGAGCTGAGGAGAAAATACAGCATAAAAATCTTTCCTACTTCTTAATGAGTTTACTTAATTTGGTGAAATATTCTATCTCAGTTTTGTTTGTGTATGTATATTGACAAGTTAACTATAAATATCTAAAATGGAACTAGGCTAAAGATACTATTTTTCTTTCTAGATCCCATACAGTGGTCCACAGACCAAGTCCTGCATTGGGTGGTTTGGGTAATGAAGGAGTTCAGCATGACTGATATAGACCTCACCACCCTCAACATTTCGGGAAGAGAATTATGTAGTCTCAACCAAGAAGATTTCTTTCAAAGAGTACCACGGGGAGAAATTCTCTGGAGTCATCTGGAGCTTCTTCGAAAATGTATAAAAAATTAGTTATCTGTTTATCTTATAACTTAAGCTTAACTTATTTCTTTATAATGTGTTTTTATCTTAATTGTGCATTGATAATAAGCAGTTAGGTAATAGTGTAAGGCAGTGCTGAGGTCTCTATGTGTTCATATTTAATCCCCATAATAATGCCACATTTTACTACTTTATTTTCAATAGAAAAGCGAGTTTGTGATAGCCCCAAAAGGTGACCCTAACCCAGGCTTACACTAGAATCCAGATTCCTAAATCAGAGCCTGTGCCCTACTCTAGTTTCATCAGTCCATTCTTCAGTTTGCTGTTCATCTTCTAGAAATTTAAGGCTGACTGTTGGCAGGTGGCTTCCCTTCCATTCTCTTAATAAGATAAATGTTTTTAAATTTTTTTACTGTTAAGAGTCTGGAGAGAGGGAGAGAGGAAAAATCTTAAGTCTACAGTGTAGCTTCTGAATTGGAACCACTGGTTATAAGTGTTTCTGCTTATAACTTACATGCCATGGCTGTTACGATTATGTAGAAAAATTAGAAACTGTTTGGCTGCCCAAAAAACAAGTTCAAATAAATATAAATTATTTTGCTAAAATTTTAATCCATTCTATAATTCAGTGACTTTAAATTAAGACACGGACACCTGTTAAGACATTTTAGCGGCAGCCCATTTCCTCACACTGTTTTGTGTATCAGAGATGCAAGCCAGATGTACAGGGCTTTTTTTTTGTAAGTAAGGTAAACTCTGACATTTGTTTTTTTTTTTTTTTTTTTATTTTTGGTTTTTTGGTTTTTCTCCGGTACCGGGAACTGAACTCACGACCTTGCGCTTGCCAGGCAGGCGCTTTTGCCGCTGAGCTAAATCCCCAGCCCCAACTCTGACATTTGTAACACTGATGGGGAAAAACAGAATGGTTAGTAGTTGTTCTACTACATCTCTAATAAGAGCTGTGGTGGAGAGGCCTTCCACAGTGATGTAACGCTGAGCATTCCCATCCAGAGAACCTTCTCTGCTGTCGAACAGAAAACGAGCTCTGGACGGTCTTCACTGTTTAGCCGTAGTTTTACTCTTGTCTTAATTCATTTAGATACTTTTATAAAAGTATCAATTACACTGAAAGTTTGATTATATTCATTGCATTTACAGGGTTTATTTCCAGTTAATTCTTTTAGATAAATAAGTTCAGTTTCTTGAACTGTTGAAGGTTTGTCATTGGTTTTAAATTTTTTTGGCGGAGCTCTTCAAATGAATAAGGTAAATTCTGAATTGTTCCAGTTTCTTGCATCATATCATGTTTATTGAAAGATTTCTTTTAGGAATTCTCAAGAATATAAGGATTGTGCTTGTTTTCCCAAATTTATTTCCAGTTTTCCCCAGGTCAACTCCTCGTTGTGGTTGTCTCTTTCTCGTTCTGGTGCTTTTCATACTCTAAAGTTTCCTAGTACAGAAGAGCAAAAGTCTTGTATACTTTCCCATTTCTGTGCAGTAGAATGGGGTCTTCCTCAGAAACACTCTGTTCTGGAATTGTTGCTTTGTTTTCAGCAAAGCCCCGTAGTCTGCAGAAGGGTCTAACACAGTTTCTTACTTGTTCAGCCATGGTCCTTTATTCTGGCAAGAAATCCCATCTGTTTTAGAAATCTCATGCTTAGTTCAAAATTATAGAATTGTCAGGATAATGAGTAAGACTGTTTCTGGCAGATTTTCCTTGACCTATAGATCTCACTTTTCAGAACAGGGTCCTTTGAGCAGTCCCATACCCTAGTCCCTTTTGTAAAAAGAAATCTGCAGAATAATTCCGAAAAGCACTGATTCCTGAGCCAGAACTGTTAGTGACCCAGCTTGTTACCTGTTCATCCTCAGTTATGAATCGAGGAGAAGCAGTACAGGAGAGGTAGAGCTTGTGCTGCGGATATGTATGATCAGTTACTTAGCAGACCACCACCTGCCTGCAGTTACCCATATGTTGAAACCTCATCTAAACCCACAACACACTATACTTGAGGAGGATAATTGAGACTCTTTCAGTACTGCGATTCTGCAGCATGTGTCTTGGTACAAATACCTGTCTCCTCCTGTCCACAAAGGCAGAGCTCAGTTTATTAAGGGTGTTCCTTAGGGAAAAGAATTGCTTCATACCTTAGTGGCTAACATTTCTTCATAAAATGACTTGACATTCCCCAGCTTTGGCTTTAAAGACTCTGCTTCCCTTGTGCCTAGCCAAGAGGACAAGGCTTCTGTGGGAATTTGGTGTTTAGAGAACCTGTGTGTTCTTGGTCTAAGGCATTCAGAACTTCCCTTTTTGTGTTCTGCCTGCTGTCTTGGGAGTTTCCAAAAAACAGACTAAACTGAAGTTTGAGAAAAGGCTTCAAAGCTGATTTTCTGGGTTGGCCATTCCTGGGCTGTGTGATAGTTATTTTGTCTTTTGCCTCATTTGCACTAGGGTACCTCCATTCATGTAATTACAGTTGGAAAAATTTCAGTTTAATTAGCACTTTTCCTCCTTAAAATACTTTCACAAAAATCTGGGAAAATCTGTCACAAACATAAGACATAGAATGTTCTTCAAGAGAAGTAACAGTTCTGGGTGAGAATGCTAGAAGTAGAAATCTGCATAAAAAAATAACATGTTTCGTTTACTGAAAAGTTACTTTTGCACCATGTTTCTTAAAATTTTCCTTTGGGCCAGGTGTGGTGATGCATGCCTGTAATCCCAGCACTTGGAAGGCTGAGGAAAGAGGATCCTTGTGCATTTGAGGCCAGTCTGGGCTACAAAGTGAGCTGAAGGCCAACCTGAGCTGTATAGGGAGAGCCTGTCTTAAAAAGGCAAAAAAAAAAAAAAGTTCCTTTAATCCTCACAGTAATTTACCAAAGTTACAGTGAGAGCTAAAATCTGAACCCAGATCTGTCTGAAGCTACACCCATACCATTGTTTTATGCCCCCAAAACTCGATTGTCCCAAAGAAAACTTCCATCTGCTATGTAGGATTCGGATCTCTTCTTTACCCCCCAACATTTTATAGGTGAATGTCTGGAACTGGGTCCTGGCATCACAACCTTAGTAGCGTCTTCTTGGATTTCCAGGACATACTTAGAACCCAGAATTATTACTGATAAGTTCACTTTTGAGAGAAGCATAGTTTATGATGGGTACTAAATGGATTGAAATAATAGAGACTGAGATGTGCAATTATTGCTGGTCGGGTAAAGAGAAGTGTATTTGAGCTAAGAATAGGAAAAGACTTAAAACAGATGGTTGTTCTATAAAGGGTTACATTAGAACCTACTATAATGTAACTCACAGATTTAGACACGGATATTTCAAAGCCCATGTTCTATGAATAAGTTTTGTGACAGTTAAGAATTTTCCATCTTTCACTCTTCTTAAAGATATAATATTTGCCATAAAGAGTATCCATCAGGTATGTTTGAGTATTTCTTTTAGTGAATTGCAGTTGTTTAGTAATTTGCTTTTTGTTTGAGTTATTGGTTTTGGTTTGATTATGAATTACCTTTTTAAGGATCATGTTTATTAAGTTGAGGTTTACTGGGTTGTGATTTTTATATCTGGTTTTAAGTGAAAACAAAAATTTTTTTGTGTGTTCTTCAGATGTGTTGGCAAGCCAAGAACAACAGATGAATGAGATAGTTACAATCGATCAACGTGAGTGTTCATGGTCATATTTGCCCATTTATCAATAAGAAATGTTTTCTTCTTTTGATACTATTAAATATTAAAAACTTTTTTAAATAGTATGATTTTAGATATACAGAGAGATAAAGTATAACTAACAGCTGTGTACACCATAAAAAATAAACTCTACCTATGAGATTTACCTAGTATAGATCTCATTTTTCTTTCTCTGTCCGCAACATGATGTTTGTTATTCTCTCCATGTTTTGTATTTCTACCAACTATGTATCCATAATCATTTATGACATTGTTCTGCACCAGGTGTAAAGGTTTGGGTAAAATTATACTATATTGTGCATTTCTTTTTATAAGTTACTTTTTTTGTTCAGCATTTGTGAGACTTATTTATTAAGACTTACAGCTTATAATAGACTTATAAATTAAGACTTACAGCTTAATTTTATTCATTTTTACTGGTAAATAGTATTTTTTAAAATGCTGTGAACATCATTCAGTGAGTATTTATACACTAACATCACGAGGTTTCTGCACTCTCAATATCAGTACGTAGTGCCAAAAATTTTTCTTAAAATGGTTGTATGAGTTCCTATTCTCATTAGCAATGCAGCATGAGTTCTTACTTACCCACCTTTCTTCTAACAATTCTTTGTTTAATGTTTATGCAGTACTAAGATACCATTTTTAAAACAGGAAAACTCTCATTCACTAAGATTCAGACATGAATCATAGGTGTATTAGCAATATAGGATATTGCACTGCAAATACCATAACTTTATAAAGAAGTCCTTTCTTAATATAGAGAAACATCAGTGTTAGTTGATGGCATTTAATGTCTTTCAAGATGTTTTTTTCACTGCTTCTACTGAAAGAAGAAAACATACCCCTTGTCTTATCTTCTAGCTGTGCAAATTATTCCGGCATCAGTGCAGTCTGCTACACCAACTACCATTAAAGTTATAAATAGTAGTGCAAAGGCAGCTAAAGTACAAAGAGCTCCAAGGATTTCAGGAGAAGATAGAAGCTCACCTGGGAACAGAACAGGTATTTTTGCATTAACTGGTACTGTACTTAAAAAGTTTGTCAAATTAGGTATATGTTATTTTATTTCTGTACGGCAAATGTGAATGTGGACTGTTCCTCTGTCATTATTTAAACAAGATTTATGAAAATAAAAGTTAGTCTTTGCCACGGCTGAGATTTTAACCAAAGGATCTGTGTGTTGCCTTTGTCCTGTGTTGTCCTCTCTGTGGCCAAAATTTGTCCCTTTTGTTAATTTAGGAAATAATGGCCAAATCCAACTATGGCAGTTTTTGTTAGAACTTCTTACTGACAAGGATGCTCGAGACTGTATCTCTTGGGTTGGTGATGAAGGCGAGTTTAAGCTAAACCAGCCTGAACTGGTTGCACAAAAATGGGGACAACGCAAAAATAAGCCTACAATGAACTATGAGAAACTCAGTCGTGCATTAAGGTAAGGATTTGTTTTTTTTTTTTTTCTGATAGCAGCTTTTCAGCTTTTTCTTTGACAGCAGCTTTCTACACAGTAACTTCTTATTCTAGGTATAATCATTGTTATGTAAAAGTACTAAAATACTCAGCTTGTTCCTAGATGTGGTCTTCATATATTAAAAACATAAAATTTTATACATATGTATTAAAAGTTTTCTTAAAAGATCTTATTAATAATTTTGAGTCAGTAAGTTTTTTAAAAAGATTGTTGTAAGATTATTTGCCTTTACCAACATGTTTGATCTTTGAGATTTTTATCATTTGCATATCAGATAAATATGCTCTCATTTAGCTGGGTGTGGTGTTGCATGCCTGTAATCCCAACATTTAGGAGGCTGAGGTAGGAAGATTGCCACAAGTTTGAGGCCAGCCTAGACTACATAGCAAGACCCTGCCTCAAATACCTACACACACCAAAAAAAAGCACATGGAAAAGAACTACTTTTGCATTGACGGTGCTGGAGTCAATGTGTATCTTGAAGGCTGAGGAAGGGGTTGAAAGTTGACCACTTCCTCATACTGTGTCAAAAATCAGTTCTGTGAGCTTCTAGCTCCAACTGCTAAAAAATCAAATAGTAAAACATCTAGAGACTCAGGCAATGGGGAAATACACTTAAACAAAATTGAAAGGACTAATCCTAAAGGAAATGGTCAATAAATTTGACCACATTTAAATCCAGAACTTCTGGCCATCAAAAGCTGTCATTAAAAGAGTAAAAAGCAAGCCACACATACCTGACAAAAATTGTATTGGCAATATCTGAAGACTTCTGTAATCAGTAGGAAATTTCTTTTAAATGTGTAGGAGACTTACTCAGACACTACAGGTTTCGGGTAAGAGGATATCCAGATGGCTAATAAATAGGTAAAGGTGCACAGTCTCATTAGTAATCAGGGAAGTGCTGTTTGAAACTGTATGTCCCAGAAGTGCAACATGAAAACGATTGCCAGTACCAGGTGTTAGCCAGGCTGTGGAGCAGTGGGAATGCTTCCATGCTTTGGGTGGGAGTGTGTAACCTGTAATCCAGCAGTTGCTTTTCTAAGCAGATACCAAACAGAAATATCCATGAATGGCCACACACATAGGAGCTTGTTTATGACGTCCAAAAATGAGAAACCTTCCAAATACCTGTCAGCAGTGCAGGGAATAAATTAGTTATAGTATATTTAGACAGTAAAATACCGTGCATCCACAAAAATGAACTGCTATAAACAGTGATGTAGAAGGGACGGGATTCAAAAGATTACATAGTGTATCAATACATTTATTTAATGAAGCTTTAAAAACAGGGATGGTAGATTACAGCATTTGAAGATGCATATTTGGTTGATAAATATAGAGCAAAACAGTGAAATTACTATCATGAAGCAGGCTTGTGTTCACCTATTATAGCAGGAGAAGAGAATGGTTGAGGGAATTGTAGGTGCTGCTGTGTTCTCTTTAAATGGGTGAATGTTTGCTGTGTAATAAACCACTGAGTTAACATTCCTACCTTTTCAGAATGTTGTGATATATTTCATAATTTAAAAGATGTAAAAAAATTCAAGTTAAAAAAAAATAAAGGGAAATCATATCCATGAAAATACAAGTACTGTGTACCTTTCTTTTTTATTCTGTTTTTGCAGGGCTGGGTTGGGTTGGTTTGGTTTTGTACTGGGGATTGAATATTGAACGTAGTGTGCCTTGTCATGACCCACATTTCAAGCCTTTTTTATTGTAAGAGAGGGTCTCACTAAGTTGCCCAGGCTGACCTTGAATTTATAATCTCCCTGCTGCCGGTTTAATGTGTGCAACACCACACCCAGCTTGCTTTCTTTGTTTTAGGGACAGACTAGATGAAGTGAATGCTACTATATATATGTATATTCTCTGATGTATCTACTAGATTGAAGAAAAGGGATATTAAGTAAAATTAAAATATAGGGCTGGGGATTTAGCTCAGCGGCAAAAGCGCCTGCCTGGCAAGCGCAAGGTCGTGAGTTCGGTTCCTGGTACCAGAGAAAAACCAAAAAAAAATATATATATATATATGTGTATTCCTTTACCTCTTTCTGAGAACTATCCCATTTTCCTCCCGGGAAGGTAAAACTATTTTTCCTTCTGTATTGTCCTTTTTTCCCTAATGACTTATTTATTAAATCCTTGTACGTTTATATAGAAATTTTCTTAAGAAATTGAACTGCCCCCAGTGTTTGAATGACAATCAATTAGTTTGTGGGCTGAGATTCAAATTCTATATCAACATAATCCACACAGAACACAAGACTGCCCAGTGTGTTAAGTGTCTTTTACTGGAAAATCAGACATAACTCTTGTAATTTGCTGTTCTGGAAGAGGACATAATTTCCTTTCTATAGGTCAGTCTTCATTAATGGACACTTAATTAAGCTGAGTGAAATTCCGAATGAAATCTTGGTAAATGTGGTAGTTTACATAGAGGTACTTTTGCAAATAATCATTACTTAATAGCAGTTCTTTCAGTGGACAGTGTGATACTGAAATAAGTACTTCACCATCTGCCAGCCTAGAAAAGGGCTTGACCTAACGTTTTCTCCCATATTCGAACTATCGGTGCATAGTGATAAATCAGGTCTGTTTTCCAAAGTTAACCCAACTGTTCCTCCATAGAGAGCAGCGGTTATAGAGTAGAATGATAAAGATGAAGGCATATGAACAGGATTTTATACAAGACAGAAAAGAAGTGGACATCTCAGTCATCTATAGAACGTGCATATTAAGTATTTTTATTATCTGAATTATTTAACATAGCTTATATTTTATAGAGGGCTAAGGAGTAAAAGCTTAGAGGAAAGGTGATTTTCCTGTGGCCCCAAAGGTAAGAAGCCTAAGTGCTAGGTTTTGAGTCTTGACTGGCTGAGCCAAAAATCCCTGTTAGATTCTGTGCCACTCGGAAGATTTCTGTTTTGTCTTACTAGTTTTGTTTTTAAGTCACTGTTTTATTATAATTGTTGAGAATCTTCCTTTGAATCTTAAGTAATATGATTTTGATGTACTTTGCATTGAAATTTAGTAAATAATGCTTTAGAGTTTCTTGTGGCACCATTAAATACTCAGGTAATCTCTGTAAGCTTGTTAACTGCTGCTGTGGCGGGTCTAGTACTAGGCTTTTGCTTCTGGAATAGTCTGAAATGTAAATCCAAAGTCTTCATTTGTTTGTATACCTCTGATGTATTTTTTTTATTTTTAAAGGTATTACTATGATGGGGACATGATTTGTAAAGTTCAAGGCAAGAGATTTGTGTACAAGTTTGTCTGTGACTTGAAAACTCTTATTGGGTACAGTGCTGCAGAATTGAACCGCTTGGTCACAGAATGTGAACAGAAGAAACTTGCAAAGATGCAGCTGCATGGAATTGCCCAGCCAGTCACAGCAGTCGCCCTGGCCACTGCTTCGCTACAAACCGAAAAGGATAATTGAGGTCCAGGGGCTTGTGGGGATCTAAGGTCTTTCTTAAATATTAGAGCAAGCATTGCTCTTAACCTTTGTTACTGAATTTGAATCTTCTTTTATTTCTAGACTGTACAATCTGATGCATGATTTTTTATAAATATTTCATACTCTTGTGAATTTGGATCTTTTTACTTTGAGCATATATTTTAGCATATGTGTATCTTAAAGGGTCACCACAATGTCTGCAGTGTGGAAGCGGCTTCATTGTGGGATAGTTAAACAGTCAGGAAAGCTAAACTGGTCAGTATTAATGTCTAGCCCTACCAAAAACAGCCAGTAGCATCTGAAGGTGAAAGATAAATGAAGTATCCCGGGAAACAGTCTGGCTTAGCTATTTTTAAAATGTAACTGTTTCCCTTTTCTGCTGCTTTAGATGTTGCTTTACATAGAACCAGAAAATGGAATTTCTCAGCTAAAGCATGTGTGCCTGTTGCATCTAATCAAGCAGAGCTAAAATGTTCATCTCAAATAAATTTATAATACTAATAAACTACTAAACTAAGAGTATCAGGTTACTAAGGTAATTTATATATTTGAAAATAAAGGACAGTAAAAAGTTGACTAGCAAAGGAGCAGTGCTAAAGAGCTATATCCAGGTTTAAATCTGGCTTAACTCAAGCCAGTGCTAAGGGTTGTCTATAGATTATTCATTATGTCAGGCCAAGGATTTAAATTATTTTGAGAGGCATTTAATTCAAATAAACCAACTATTACAAAAATTCTAAAATGATCTCTGTTTTTCGTGTCAGAGATTTAAAAAAATTGAAAAGTTTACCTCAGCCATAAAATAAAAGTTTTTTGACTTGGTATGACTTCCTTTTTTTTTTTTTTACATTAGTCTATGGTGCCTGTTTATTGTGCAAAACAACTTATATATCCTTGTGTTTCTGATGAAATGACTTTAAATCAGACAGCAGTACTTTCAAGATGTTAGTAAATTACTCGCAAATAAGTATAAAAGGAAAAATTTGACCTTTTTAGGCAGTCTACTCTTTAAAATAAAACTTCCTGCTTATTTTTCCTTTTGAATATTATATATGTATGTATATACAGATACATACATGTCCAGTTGATTACTTTATACATACACATTATGTATAAAGACCTATATTCAAAGGGGTATTAAATAATTTATTTTAAAAATCTTTAAAATTAAGTAATTCTTATATGAAATTCCTTACTAAGAGCTAACCCTAAGTAGACATGGCTACAGAGTATATCCTTTTCTTTTCATTGTGTGTTTCAAGGTGTTATGCATGAATCATGATACGAGACTGGCAAATGGCTCTTCTAAGCAGAAGGTTGTTTCTCAAGTGCTACCTTCCCTGCGCATCTTCGCCTTCCTCATTTCCTTTAAATTCATCCCCCAAAACTGGTTTATGAGAGCTCAGCTGTATAGGAGCTTAGTTAATGCTGTTGACTAGGAGGAAACAACCATGGTGTACAGGCCAGGTGGTGCTACCAAAATATTAAGTAGGGATTTGGAATGAGTTCGAGGAGGCAGGCATGCTAAGGACAAGGAGGAAGGCGCTCTGATCTCCTTTCTGGTAACTTAAGTCACAATTTTAAATGCTGTGCTAAAGGATTATAGCATGTATTGTTAGTTCATTTGTACTATATTAAGTTCTTTAATATTCTGCCGTACATACCTAAAAAGAATAACGTTTATATCTTTTGTTTTTACTTTTTTATAAACAGACAGTAGACTGACAAATTACTAGTACAGTTTGGACACTGATTTTAAGAATATCTGAGTAGAATGACAATATGAAATAATATATTTTAGAAGTCCTAACTGCAGATAACAAATAGGAATCGATAACTAAGGTTTTGTGCCATCTTCTGACAGCCTGGGAAGTTCACCTAAATAAAGTTTATTTTAAAAATACACTGTTCTGGTTTATCAGAAGCTCAAGAATCTTGACTTTTCTTATATGTTAAAAGTTTTAGCCAAGAAGACAGATTTTATGTGTCTTTTATATGTGTATATGTTTTTAAGGCAGGCAAACCCATATTTCTTTTAGATTCCTAACAATCAAAAATTTTTTTTCTGTTTTAAGCATTCCCCATGTTTTTTTAAAAAGCTACATTTTATGTTTTCTTCCTTGTATATTTTTTATTTTATTCTCCATAATTTGAACAAACAGTTCTCATACGTGGTCAGATGCTGCATCTTTTTCTCCACGCCTTTCACCATCATTCTGTGCGCTGTAACACAGGTCATGGGACTCATTTCTCCACTTGGCTCAATAGGATTTCATTAGTTTGTCTCAGTTTATATATAAAAATTTCTGTTACTCCGATTGAGGAAATGGTTTGCTAGGTAGTCTTTTCTACTATTGAAAAGTAACCTGTGTTATGAAAGAAAATCTAATTCATGCTATTCAGTTGCTATTTTGTGAATTTTTCATGAAAGAATGTAGAATATATTTAAAGGAAAACAAAATTACTGATCTTTTTGTACCTTAGAGGTAGGAGAACAATGAAATAACTTTGATTTTAAAACTTTTTCCATCTGAAATTTGCATTGAGCTAGCTTTCATACATTGTCTTGCTAGCCTGAAGTCTGAGGATTTGTGTTGGCATTGTGAAAATCAAAGAAATTAGGCAGAATTGTAAGATGTGATTGATGTTCTTACAAGGCAACTAATCACATTGACTTTAGTATCAGTCTATCTCAGTTAACAGGAAAAACTGTTCTTTTTTCCACAGATTAATGCTGATACTCAAGTACAATATTTCTTTTAAAGGGTTGTGCCTCCAAATATTTTTGGTGAGGTCGTCTGTTTTCTGCATTCATCATTTTATGCTACTGCCTTTTATAAAGACCTAGTGTATCTTTGATATAGCACAAAAATGTTTTAAAGTTCATAATTGCAAGATAAACCTCTGACTTAATGTCTTCAGATCTAAAGGGTATAAAATATTAATACTTCAATATTTCACTTGTTGCCAGAAAAAAATATTCTCAATTCTCAATCTTTTGTAAAAGGAAGGAGGATTTTTGCATACATTTTTACTCTTTAAATACAGACACTTATACTATCACAATAACAATTATGTATTTCTTTGTGGTTTTTTTGTAATTTTACATGAAACAGTTATTTTCTATTTTTACTCAGATAAAAATATTTGTGCATAAAATGTAAAAATAGTAAAATAAGAAAAATAAAATTATTATACAATATGTTCTTGTGTTGAATGTTTTTCCTCAAAAGTCTCATTCCTGGGCTATTTGCTTGAGTAAAAATCTGACAGTCTATTTAATGTATTGTACATCGGGTTTCTGTATTACTTCTTTACTTAAAAACTACCACCTTTCAGTTTAGTGGTCTGCATCATGCACACGTGTGCACACACACTCCCTAGAGAGGAGCAGTCTCTTAAGAAAACTAGTGAACTTCCATCCACAAAGCCAAGCCATTTTATAACAGTAACTGGTGAACTGGTAAGACTGAATACTTCTCAAAAGGCTTATGAGTGTTAAACTGTATCTCTTCAGCCTAGTCTTTTTCAGCAGTGGGGGAATCTGTGTTGGCAGAATATCACAGGATGTTCCAGGCAGGACAAGAATAAAGAAGAAGGAAATGGTTCTACAGAAAATAGCACTTTTGCCTTTTTGTATCAGCAAGGAGTGATCAGACTTGGACATGATTAAATAAGTGGAATGTTCTTTTGAAACAAGAACTGTAAAAATATACAATCTAATATTTTCTAATTTGAAATGATGAAAATCATCAGCTACAACACTTTTTTCCCAAGGATTCAGTTTTTCTGTATGTTACTTTTAAGTTTAGTTCACAAGACTAGCACTGATTAAAAATGCTTTTGACTAACCCATTGCTTTTAAAGTTTTCTGTGAGGGGACACTTCAAGTCACAGGCAAACATTGGTAAAGTAAAGATGAATTAAATTTTTAAAATGAAGTGCTAAATTTAACAACCAGTACAATTTACCAAATTAAAGTGGAAAGGAAATATGATCAATAGCAGAAAAATAAATGTAAAATTCAGCATTTATTCCTGATAAAAAATAAAACTCAGCAGCCCAGAATTTGGAACAAGCCTGAGGCTACCTTGTACATCATGGTTTGTCTTCACTCCCAAACAAGACTTGGGCAAAGGCAAGGAGATAACAATGCTCACCATTTGCATCTGTCCTTGAACTCTAGTCTGTGAAATAAGGCAACAGCAGAAGTACATACTGTAAGAAATAGAACTTTATAGGGGATGATCATAAATGTCCGAACTCCTAAGATGACTTAAAAACCGGCCAGACTGAATTTAGCAAGGTCGATCTATAGAACTCAAAGTTATTTGTACAGGGTAGCAGCCTGTAATTAGGAACAGATATAACAAAGTATTTTCAAAACCTGTCCAATCAAAGAACTTGCCAAGAAATGCAGGAAAATGTAAGTGGAGAAGTGATACATCAATGGTGGGTTGGGAGACACAGTTTTGAAAATTTTGTATTACAAAATAAATATTGTAAATGTTAATTATTCTTAAATAGCATAACTCCATTCGAAATTCTGGCAGTCTTTGGGGCAAGGGGTAGGCAAGCCAATTATAAAATTTGCACATAAACAGTGACCCAGCCTAGCCAAAACGTGGAAAGCAACTGGATTGCACTATGTAAAGCTTCCACATAAAGTTACGGTAGTGATACTATGGTACTGTGATAAGCATACATACAGATGAATGAATAGAATAGAACCCAAAAGTAGACCCATGGTTAAGTAGATACATGGTTTATTGACTTTTGATAGATGCTAAGGTAATTGAATAGTAGAAGGGTAGAACAACTGGATACATTTTTGAAAAACCCCAGTCATTAGCTTACAAATACTAACTCAAAATACGTGCTTAATCATAAAAGCTAAAACTTATAGGAGAATTTTTCCATGGCCTTGGTAGACAAAGATTTCTTAGATAACACATGAAAAAGCAAAACCATTTTTTTTAAAAAGGCAGTGAACAGTACTTCAAAAGTTTTTAAAAAGTATTCTTTGAAAGGTACCAGGAAGAATATGACAAAGCAAAACAGCAAGTCCAATCCTAGACCTGTACCCAAAAGAAATAAAATGTGTCCACTGAATGATTGGCCTGCTAATGGTTATAGCAAATTTATTCATCATCATTCAAATTAAACCCAGATGCCCATTAACAAATGACTGAATAAAGGTATGACTAGCTATACAGTAAAAATAAATATGCTGGGTCTGGAGGTGCACGCCTGTAATCCCAGCATTTGGGAGGCTGAGGCAGGAGGATTGTTGCAAGTTCGAGGGCTACAAAGTGAGCTCAAGGCTAGCCTGAAGTGCATAGTGAGACCCTGTCTCAAAAAGATTAAATAAATACACACCTACTACTAAGTAATAAAAAGGAGTGAACAATTGCCACACCAGCATCTCTAAAAACAGTCTTGTCTAATCTTTTAACAGAAAAGAGATCTGGTTGTGTAGAGTTGGAGACGGGCATGATTTTCTGGATTGAACACAAGAAACGTTTGCAGTGGTGAGCATAGCCTCTGTTCTGCTTTGTTAGTGGATGGGTACACTTGCCAAAGCTCATCAGAAACACATATTTGAGCCCAGGACTTCACACATGATAGGCAAGTACTCCACCACTAAATAACCCTACCTTTTTGTTTGGTTGGTTTTGTTTTTAATTTTGAACAGGGTCTTGCGCAGTTGCCCAGGCTAGCCTAGAGCTTTCAGTCATCCTGCTTCAGCATCCCTGATGGATGAAATTACTACGTGTGTGTAATGTTCTTTGCTAAATGTAAAATGGGCACAGAAATTTATGTAAATTCTACTTCAATATGTTAAAAACTAGCCACATATAGTAGCATACACCTGTAATCCCAGCACTCAGGAGGCTGAGACAGGAGGATGACAGAGTCCTCAAGGCCAGCCTGGACTACATAGTGAGACCCTTTCTCAAAGTAAAAACAAAAAAATCATGAGAAAAAAATGTATACCCATTTTTTAGAAATTATTAGGTTTCACAGATATGATTCCTCTCAATTTGCTATAATTATTTCAAAGCCTAACTTCACAAACTGATTACACTATCATAAATATTTTGTCATTAAACAACAAACATCAATTTTAACTATATGATGTGAAAGTCAGTGGTACTGGAAAATTTCTCTGTAATCTGAGCAAAGCACTTTGTCGTGTCTGCTAACAAAATAGTTAATTTTAGAATCTTTATTCCATGACACAAACAACACCCAGTTAACACTTCTGCTATTTGTACAGGTGTCATCACAGCAAGTAGTATGAATACAACAAAACACTTGGTTAAGTTTGCAGTGGTTAAGTTATGCTATTTAAGAATAATTAATATTTTTATATGTGTATATGTATATGCAACTCTCATTCACTTGCATAGAAATATATGCCAAAATTTGCTTGGGGGGCTGGGGATTTAGCTCTGCGGCACAGCACCTTCCTGGCAAGTGCAAGGTTGTGGGTTTGATTCCCGGTACCAGAGAAAAACCAAAACCAAAACAACAAAACAAAATTTGCTTGAAAATCTCTATTAAAAGGGAAGGGTGAAGTTTCCTATCTGTAATAAAAGTTATGCTTTTGTTTGGATCCTGCTGACAATAAATTAATATAAATAAATGAAATTGAAGCAATTGTGAAAATTAGAGCACTGGATGTTCAAAAATACTGAGAAACTGCAGTAGTTTTCTTTGTGTGTGATAATAGCATGATTATATGGAGGAAATTTTATGAATGTATACATTAAGTGAGGTTGAAATAATATAGTATCTAGTATTTGCTTCCAAGTATTTCAAACCAGTGAGGGCCTCGCACATGCTAAGCAAGAGTTGTATCCGTAAGCTACATCTCCAGCCCAAGATTTTAAAAGGGGG